ATGTAAAGTTAAATCCATTTATGGTCATTAAACTTAATTTCTCACTGTAACAATAACAAAAAAAATTTACTTCATAGGTGACTGTATGTGGTCTTAAATAAGTCATTTGTGTGACTGTAAAATTTTTAAAACTTGTAATTTAAATTAGGCATAGTATTTGTATAACTATAAATATTACCTATTAAGAAAATATTGAAAGACGTCAATCTTTTAAAACGGACTAATAAGAAAATAATATCTATCTTTTTGAAATGAATGAGGTAGTTTTTATCACTTATGGTTACGTGTTGATGAGTGTAGTGTTCATGTGAAACATATGTCTGAACAACTAGAACTATCTAAATGGTTACTACGAAAGTTTCACTGATAGTTTGTGTCAAATTTAAGGGCTAACTAATAATTTACCCTCGAATAATTGTAGTGTTTTGAAATTTGAATACTTACATATTGGGTACAATAATATTTTGTACTCATCGTGAGCACGTAATTTTTGCCTCTCCGAAAATACTCCTACAAAAATCAATAAATGGATGTTTTCCCAATTGTTTTTAATTTTCCTAGAAATTTTAGGAATTTTTGTTAATTGTTTGCAAGTAGTTACATTTTTGTGCACTTTTAATATTTTAAAGTCATGAAAAATACCAAAAATATTTAATTCTTTATTGCATAGTATTTTAGATCTTTATTGCATTTAGGATTAATTATTTTTAATCAAATGCATTATTAATTGAGAATCTTCAATATATATATATATATATATATATATATATATATTAGCTTTTAGTTTTAAATTAATTAGTGTTAAATTAGTGAAATAAGTAAGATTAATTCTACCAAATAGATTAAGTTAGAGTCTAATTTAGGATTTTATTTAGTTTATTTATTAATGAAATTAGATTTTTAAAATTAAAGAAAAGAAGGAAAAACAAAAGAAAGAAGAAGGGTGTCTTGTTTGGAATTGGGCCAAGCCTCTAAGGCCCAAAACAATTCCATCCGCCTAAGCTCCAATTCCCCCTAATCGGTCCAGATACCCCTTCAATCAAAACGACGTCGTTTCGGTCCCAAGCAATCTCGGCCGTTCGTGATTTCTGATCGAACGGCTCGGAACTCATTTGCTTATTATCTTAAAACCGTCTAAAGAGACCCCCCCATACCCCTAACTCATCTTACAGACCTCTCAAACCCTATTCTCCTTACCCTAATCCTTCGCTGCCGCCGGAAATCGCCCACGGCGGCGGCATTACTCCAATAAACCCCAAAATGTCATCCCATAACCCTTGTTATCTCCTCGTTCTTTTCCTACCATTAGTTTCGTCAAAAACCTCCTATATTTGCTTGATTTTTAGATCTAAAAGGGAAGAACCCTAATCCTTTTCTTTTATTGATTGCTTCTGAATCTAGGTCGTGTGACGATGAAATTTATACCAATCGATTAATCTCATTGGTGACTATCAATTGGTATCAATCTCGATTCGACTAATGGTCACCAGAACTTGATTAAAACCTGGTCGACCGGCCAGAACTTTGGAGCTCCCATAACTATGATTCTCTTGGTCGGTGTATGCCGGATATCATCACATATAGCATTGGCTATGCCTCGAGTGTGAGCTAGTGCTCGTGTGGCGATGCCGGCTATTAACCGAACTTTTTTTTTTCCGGCAGCATTATCGTCTACTGTTAGTCTTTTCTTCTCATCTTTCATTCCCTAGAATTGATGATTCGCCGTTTAATTGTTAATCATTAGTTAAATCATAATTTTGCTTGACAGCATGCTAAGGTTAATAGTTAGTCACTAGTAAATTATTTTAATCTTCTGAGTAACTACTTGTTGAATTGAATCTGAAGTTGGTCAATTGATAATTACTTGTTGGTTTGAATTGCATATCTACTTAATCAACTTGTTTAATCAGTTGTTGAGTCATGTTTAGCTTATGTTTGTTAGCTTACTGTTAATTCAGTTTAGTTAATTGCTACCTGTTAAACGTTTGGTTCTGATATGAGAAAGAGGGCAGTAATTTTAGGTACAGGGTAGTAAAATGATGAGTTAAAAGAAAAGGCTAAACGAAGGGTGTTAACATAGACTTGAGAGAGTTAAAGGAAATAAGAAAATGAGAGAAAACTTCTAGAAAGGGATAGTTGTCTTAATTTGTTAGACAAGATGCTGAAATTAGATACAGCTCTCCATTTTCTGGTACAAAAAGATGACATTTCCCTGAATTTAAGAGAAGGGTGGCAGATTCTGTCACGACCCAAACCGATGGGCCGCGATGGGCACGAGGTACCTTACTCAATCGAGTACCAACGTAACATATCTTTCTTATTACATCATCATATACATGTGACATACGGGCCTAATAGGCCAACATCATCAATTATAAACTCAAAACATAGGCCGACAAGGCCGTACAATCTTTCACATACATGACATATGTCTACAAACCTCTAATAGTACATAAATATCATAAAGGTCGGGGCAGGGCCCCGCCATACTAATCAGTACATGTCCTAATCATACTGACCACATAAGAAACTCCGGAACAAATGGAGTGTACCAACATCTTCCGCTGAGCTGATCGCCTACTTGGAGGACTCTCGACCTGTCTATCGAGACCTGCGGGTATGAAACGCAGCGTTCCCAGGGAAAAAGGACGTCAGTACAAATAATGTACCGAGTATGTAAGGAATGAAAATCAGTAAATAATATACATGAGAGAAACATGGAGTAAAAGACTTGACATGTACGTCTGCATAGCTCTGTGAATCATTTCATTTTTATAACATCATACGTATACGTATAAATGTCATACCATGCATAGGTATATGTGTTCTTAACATCATCAAGCCTTTGAGGGCATCCTATCATATCATTTCGGCCACTGTGGGCAAATCATCAACGTATACCAGCTGATCAGGTGGTGGTGCGTATATAACGCCATAACCTTTTTCTATATCCCATATACATATAATATACGCGTATATAACGCTTTCTTATCATGGGTCAATGTATATGTATAAATGCATGAAATGCATAAGAAATACGTTAATACGATTTCTCGAATATCATAAAATCAATATGCCTTTCAGAAAACTTTATCAAATACGTATTTTTCTAAGACCCATGAACAGAGGAAATAATAATAATTCACATAGTGAAATCAAGAATATAGAGCCCTAGTATTTCTATGAATAGAGTCATTTATGAGTGTGGCGTTGCCGGCTATTACCCGGACTTCTTTTTTTTCCGGCAGCATTATCTTCTACTGTTAATCTTTTCTTCTCCTCTTCATTCCCTAGAATTGATGATTCGCTGTTTAATTATTAATCATTAGTTAAATCATAATTTTGCTTGACAACATGCTAAGGTTAATATTTAATCACTAGTAAATTGTTTTAACCTTCTAAGTAGCTACTTGTTGAATTGAATCTGAAGTTGGTCAATTGATAATTACTTGTTGGTTTGAATTGCATATCTACTTAATCAACTTGTTTAATCAGTTGTTGAGTCATGTTTAGCTTATGTTTGTTAGCTTACTATTAATTCAGTTTAGTTAATTGCTATCTGTTAAACGTTTGGTTCTGATATGAGAAAGAGGGCAATAATTTTGGGTATAGGGTAGTAAAATGATGAGTTAAAAGAAAAGGTTAAACGAAGGGTATTAACATAGACTTGAGGGAGTTAAAGGAATTAAGAAAATGAGAGAAAACTTCTAGAAAGGGATAGTTGTCTTAATTTGTTAGACAAGATGCTGAAATTAGATACAGCTCTCCATTTTCTGGTACAAAAAAATGCCATTTCCCTCAATTTAAGAGAAGGGTGGCAAATTCTGTCACGACCCAAACCGATGGGCCGCGACGGGCACCCGTTACCTTACTCAACCGAGTACCAACGTAACGTATCTTTCTTATTATATCATCATATACACGTGACATACGGGCCTAATAGGCCAACATCATCAATTATAAACTCAAAACATAGGCCGACAAGGCCGTACAATCTTTTACGTACACGACATATGTCTATAAGCCTCTAAGAGTACATAAATATCATAAAGGTCGGGATAGGGCCCCGCCATACTAATCAGTACATGTCCTAATCATACTGACCACGTAAGAAACTCCGGAACAAATGGTGTGTACCAACATCTTCCGCTAAGCTGATCGCCTACTTGAGGACTCTCGACCTGTCTATCGATACCTGGGGGCATGAAACGTAGCGTTCCCAGGCAAAAGGGACGTCAGTACAAATAATGTATCGAGTATGTAAGGAATGAAAATCAGTAAATAATATACATGAGAGAAACTTGGAGTAAAAGACTCGACATATATGTCTGCATAGCTCTGTGAATCATTTCATTTTTATAACGTCATGCATATGCGTATAAATGTCATACCATGCATAGGTATATGTCTTCATAACATCATTAAGCCTTTGAGGGCATCCCATCATATCATTTCGGCCACTGTGGGCAAATCATCAACGTACAGCTGATCAGGTGGTGGTGCGTATATAACGCCATAACCTTTTTTTATATCCCATATACATATAATATATGCGTATATAACGCCTTCTTATCATGGGTCAATGTACATGTATAAATGCATGAAATACATAAGAAATACGTTAATAAGATTTCTCGAATACCATAAAATCAATATGCCTTTCAGAAAACTTTATCAAATACGTATTTTTCTGAGACCCATGAACAGAGGATATAATAATAATTCACATGGGAAAATCAAGAATATAGATACCCCTAGTATTTCTATGAATAGAGTCATTTATGAGTGTGGCGTTGCCGGCTATTACCCGGACTTCTTTTTTTCCGGCAGCATTGTCTTCTACTGTTAATCTTTTCTTCTCCTCTTCATTCCCTAGAATTGATGATTCGCCGTTTAATTGTTAATCATTAGTTAAATCATAATTTTGCTTGACAACATGCTAAGGTTAATATTTAATCACTAAAAAATTGTTTTAACCTTCTGAGTAACTACTTGTTGAATTGAACCTGAAGTTGGTCAATTGATAATTACTTGTTGGTTTGAATTGCATATCTACTTAATCAACTTGTTTAATCAGTTGTTGAGTCATGTTTAGCTTATGTTTATTAGCTTACTATTAATTCAGTTTAGTTTATTGCTATCTGTTAAACGTTTGGTTTTGATATGAGAAAGAGGGCAATAATTTTGGGTATAGGGTAGTAAAACAATGAGTTAAAAGAAAAGGTTAAACGAAGGGTGTTAACATAGACTCGAGGGAGTAAAAGGAAATAAGAAAATGAGAGAAAACTTCTAGAAAGGGACTACTGTCTTAATTTGTTAGAAAAGATGCAGAAATTAGATACAGCTCTCCATTTTCTGGTACAAAAAGATGCCATTTTCCTGAATTTAAGGGAAGGCTGGTAGATTCTTTGGAGCTGATCTGATTCCTTCATAAAGCTCTCATATATTCTATATAATAGAGGAATTCTTTGCAGATTTTACACACAGTAAAATCCCAGAAAAATCTAAAATTTCCTTTTCATTTAACACTGATCCTGCACTGATTTTTTAGAGTCCTCTTTTCTTCACTTTCATTTTAGCAAAGAAAATTCTGGAAAACCAACTCTGGGATTTCAGAAACAAAAATAAAAATAAATACTCTCTGAAAATCTGAAATTTCACACGTTAACAAGAAGAAATCTGGGCATTTCTGGAAAGAATCAGTGTTCATCGACACTGTTTCATTGTTTTTCTTTTGGTTCATTTCTGGATTTTTGAGATTGAGCTTCAAAGCATTCTTGTGTTGTTTCTACTGTTTGTGTGCTTGCTGTTGCTTCTTCTCAGAATTTCAGAGATTTATTTTCTCTTTTACTTACCTTTGTTGCTTTAAGGTATATATTGATAAACTTTGTACGATTCTGAACTTAGCACAATCACATTAAGCTTGAAATCTGTGAATTTTAGATGGTCGTTGTGCTTACATGATGTTTTACCTTCTTTATGAATTGTTCTAAAAAAGGTTTGAATGACTTGAAATGAGAAGGTCTAACTTTGTTGATCCTACTGTTGCTCATGAATTATTTCAATAACATGTTATCTTTTTAGTTTACTCATGTTTCAAGCCTAATGTCATAGATAGGCCATTGATCTAGCTTAAAGGTTCTTTCAGGTTCAAAACATCTCCATGTCTAATTGATTGTACCATGAATAATGACGTATTTACTGGAAATAGGTGATTCATGTTTGAAATAGTGTTTGCAGGGGGCTGATCAGTAAGAATCAGTTTGTTTTGATGTTTTGAGTTTAAAGTGGAATTGTTCTTTGGTTAAACTCAGGAATTACTCAACAGTTAGACTAATCTCATTTGTATTTGTATGTTTAGATATTGTTGGTGGTCAAGTGATTTCTGAGGGTAGCTCAGTGGCTATCTCATTGTAAATCAAGATCAACAAGGAGATTGAAAAGTCACTAGCTTAAGTCATTTTTTCTTTCTTCCTGGAAAGGTGTAAAAGAAGACATCATTAGTTTCGATTAATCAACCTTGTAATTTCAATTGTCTATTGTTAATTGATGTAATCACATGACAAATCATGAACCATATTCATTTTTATTTACATATTTTGTTTGGATTTGGAAATTAATGTTAGACCTCCAGAATTTATAAATTTGGGCCCTTTTAGCGTGATCAATGGTAGGCCTTGCTATTTAATCCTTGTTATGGTTTTGGACCTTTTGGGCCTCCCTTTAATTCATGCTTTCCTTCATTTCGAGACTACTAGAATTGTGAGACATGATATTTTTTATTTTTTTTTATTTTTTTTCTCTTTGTTATGAATAAAAAATCAGGTTGCTTTCACCCAATCTACGCCTGTATCCAAAGATAGACGCCAATTATTATTGGCAGTAGGTTGTTTAATTATTTAGTATGTGAGGTGGACTTCTATTTCCATCTCTTTGGATTTTTTTCTACAAACAGCCCCAAAACTAGATGAATTAACAGTCCATAAACATCCATAGAAAGGTTTCTTTTAGGCACGCATTTAATCAAATTGTCGTGATTATGTATACGTTCGCGTGACACGATTACGATTTCAAAAATGAATACTCGTAGAAACGCTTTTAGGCACGGCTTAAATTAGTATTGAGATTATGTACACGTTCGTGTGACATAATTACGATTTCCAAAATTAAATCGAGGTATGCGTTCGCGCAACTTCGGCCAAACAATCTTAAATTAATAAAGCAAGCGTGACTAATTATGTACACATTCGCGTGACATGATTTTAGCGTCCCAAATAAAGCAGACTTACCCACATGTAATCCGTTTCAAAGATTAAATCCATAAACGTCATAATTAAAAGCGGTAAAAGGTAAAACGTACATAGGTTCTAAAAATACGTAATTAAATAATTTATTAAGTCAAGTTTGATTAAAAGCGACTGTGCTAAAACCACGGACCTTAGAAATGCCTAACACATTCTCTCGGGTTAACAGAATTCCTTACCCGGTCTTCTATGTTTGCAGACTTTTAAACAGAGTCAAACTTCCTCGATTTGGGATTTTAAAATAAATGGTGACTCGGAACACCGTAAATAAATAATTCCGAGTGGCGACTCTGAATTCAATAAATAATCCCATTTCGAATAATGTCACTTTAATTGGAAAAACTCCCTACCCCCCTCGGGAAAAAGGAGGTGTGACAGCTCTGGCGACTCTGCTGGGGATCGAACCCAGAATCTCTGGTTCAAGGTTCAAGAATTCGAGCTTGTTAACATGCAAACAAACGTACCTACTATGTTTGCCGCTCATTTACTGCTTTAATATTATTTGAACTGTATTAAACTGTCTTCTTACGCCTCCCTTCTGAGTCTTCTAAAAATATGGTGCACACGTATGCATGTCCCACTTTTCTGTTAGAGGTCATACCAAATAGAACGAGGATGGATCAGCCACTAGGCCTGGTAGACTTTCGTGCTCCCGATACGTTGCTCCCACCTCGGCTCAAGCTGTTCGCTTGGGTAAGCCATGTCTAGAACGCACCCCTAGATTTAAATCTAGAATAACATAGCCTCACGCCGGATCCCTAGTAGGTACGTTTGTTTGCATCACGTGCATTTTACTTAGGGGACTCAACATAGGGGTTGGGTCCGTCTAGGATAGGTGTACCCAAAATAAAAGACTATCCTGATGTATCTTACCTGCTATGTATGCATTTATTTATTTCGGCTTGTTTGTTGACCGGCTAAGGAAAGAAAATCAGCAGAAAAACCAAGAGTGAGGTAGGATAGAAAATTCACCTGGTTTTGAAAACCTCGGTATTTGAAAATGCCTCGAAACTCTGCCAAAAATTTTGAAAAAAAAGAGAAAAAGAAAAAAAATTGTCAATATCATATTTTTCCAGTTATGTCAAAACTGACCGAACTACGCGAGTCTGATTCTCACTGGATATGAGATACGTAGGCAAACCTCGTCGGTACCGGCCCAAACAAAACAAAAAAAAAAAAAAACCAAAACCAAAAAAAATAATAATAAATAAAAAGTGTGTCCTTTTGTTTTTGGTCAAAAGAGTAAGCCGACCCAACTTCAGTTGCGTCCTGCGCCGTTTTTGACGGAATAGCCTTAGAATACCTTTAAATTGTCAAAGGGCTATTCTCGCCAAGAACGGACATGTCTGTCAATAAGGCATCACTTTTCCCATAAAGTGCCTTACCCCGGCCTGAAAACTTTATTTAAAAGTGGGAAGGGGCCATTATTGCAAAGATGACCATTTTTGGCCAATGCTGTACAAATAGCCACCTTCATGTGATTTCTATTTGAAAAACTGAAAACTGGTTTTGCAAAAGAGTCGCCTGCTCTGTCTTTTATACTAGAGTCAACCCTAACCCTAACCGTTCACATGTACAGAATGAACACTGTCCAAAACCCGCCATTAAATATTGTAGAGCAGGCTTCACTGCAGCTTCAAATGCGGTGGTATGATTTGGATAAAGAGGGTCAAGACTGGGTAGTAGAATATTTGGGTGCTCTCACGGATATTATGAAAGTCAAGCCCCAGAATGATCTGATCAAGGCTTTGGTGACTTTCTGGGATCCTGTTCACAATGCCTTCCGATTCTCAGACTTTGAGCTCACTCCCACCCTGGAGGAAATAGCCGGATATACTTGTTTCAGCCGGGACTTGAGAAATCAGCAACTTATATTCCCAAGGCCTCTCTCTGTGCGCCGGTTCTTTGATATCTTGAACATCAGTAAACAAATAAGGAAGAACAATGTAAACAATGGATGTTGTTCCTTCTACTTCCTATACTCTAGATATGGGCATCCAAATAGGTTTGAAACACATGAAAATGGGTTGGACAACAAGCAAAGCAAGGACACCTAGAAGATTCATCGTCGCTTTGTTTTCATAGTGGCGTTTCTGGGCATTATAGTTTTCCCAAATGAAAAAAGGACAATTGATATCCGCATGGCCAGAATTGCGCAAGTCCTAACTGCCAAAGAGGATCACACGCTTGCTCCGCTTATATTATCGGACATCTATCGACCACTGACGCTGCGTAGGTCTGGGGCGACATTCTTTGAAGGTTGCAATATTCTTTAGCAAATGTGGCTAATTGAACATCTTCGCCATCACCCAAAATTCATGAGTTAGGGCCCAAGCGAGAACAACTTCATCGAGAGTTATGAGGAAAAGGTAAAAGATTATAACTCTTTAGAAGGGGTTGAAGCTTGGATCTCCCACCTAAGAACTCTAAAGGCGAATTAGATTGAGTGGACTTTAGGATGGCTCCCGGTGAGGGAAGTCATGCACATGACAGCCACAAAGAACTATTTGCTATTAATGGGCTTGATAAGTGTCCAACCATATGCACCGCAAAGAGTTCTAAGATAATTGGGAAGATATCAAGTGGTGCCTGAGGATGAAGATTTGAGTGTCCAAGTTATTGAGCTACACCCCGAGGCCCCACTTCCCAAGGCTTTAATCCAACAAATTTGGAATAGTTATCGATACTTGAAAGAGGATACCCAAGTACCCGATCTTGCAAGAGATGAAGTAGATCCAGGCTATGCCACATGGTTCAAGAGAAGGAATTGCATTAATGAGGAGCCGGAGCCCGAGCCTGAACGGCCCGCCAAAAGGCTTCATAGTCAGGCTTTTGATGACAAAGTCCGAGAACGATTAGCCTGAAGAGAAAAGGAAAAGAAATATCAAGCCACCATCCATGCCTTAGAGGAAAAGTTGAGGAACCTCGCATTCGACAATGATCTACAGGCGCAGGTGGCCGAAGATGAAAAGAGAAAATTGACCCGAGAGAATGAGGTGCTCCGAGCCCAACTCCGGGACATGAGGATAGCCGCCGAAATGCCTGTAAGGAGCGAGAGATATGAAAAACTCATCAACAACTTAAGAATAAAGGTACATGACTATGCAGCTGACTTGACAAAGGCCAAAAATGATTTGCTAAATGCTCAAGCAAGATTGGCCAAAGGAGCGGAAGAACAGGCTAAATTAGCCCACTAGTTGAAGCAGAAATACGACAGAGAAGTAACAGTTTTGAAGAAAAAGCTGGTTGTCCTCTAGAATGAAATGGTCCAGCAAACAAAGGATTTTAAGGCAGAAGGAGAGCATTGCTACGCATTAATTTGTCGACTAGAAGAAAGCATGCAATAGTTACAGGACCAAAACAACACAGATACACAAGTATTGGAAGCTCGGGCATATCAAATTGGGCATATGCTTCAAGAGAAAGGTGTCATCAGAATGGGGATTAAAGATATAGCTGATTATGTCATAATGAAATGTCACGAATGTGAAGACATGACCAGGTCTATGTTTTTTACTTCTATGATGACATTCGTTCACCAGGTGATGGCTGACCTAGACCGTCTTCAAGAAGATATTGCACGAAGGCCCGCGTCAAGACCGGCTGATGTCTCGCAGTCTCCCAGAGTACCAGTGGAGGCTCTTATGTACTTTTGAGTTTTTAGTTTTTGAGTATGTACTTTACTTTTTTTGAGTTTTGTTCAAAGCTGTTTTGTGGTTTATTTCGAGCCTGCATGTTTTCTTTTTTAGTCGTCAGTACTTTTAAGTCTTTGTAATAGAAAACCCAAAAAGATTTTTATTTAATGAAATATTGAGAAACCCAAAATTTTGTTTTTTCTTTTATTCCATATTCGTTCCCTGAACTACATAATGATCTAATTCATGCGGCGTTGTGATACATAGGCAGTCCCCATCGGATTCGATCATAGCTATAGACAATCTAAGTAAAAGAATAAACTAGAAACGAATAAAAAAAAGAGAAAATTTGAGTGATAAAATAATAAAAGAGCGAAAAACAGCAAAAGGGAAAGGAAAAGAAATCAGGATTTGAAATCTGAGAAAAGGGATAGCAGAGTCGGGATGAAAAACACAGCCGTTGCAAAAATATTTAAAAATATTTAATTGTTCAGGTGCATTGCCAATATGCGATTCCCTATGTGTTAAATGTCTCAAACTCACCAAGTTATTGTGTGTGCAATAAGACATGTCCTATTTTTAGGTGGTTGGTTTTGTGATAATCTGGCTTCACATCCTTACTTCACGAGATCTAAGGGAAGTATTGCCATGGCCTCCGAAAGTCATTTACCCATTATTGAGCCTGAGGATAGCCCTGTATCAGCCATCCCACAGTCAGAGTCAGCAGCT